GGGTGGCATTGTCTTTCATTGTGAATTTGCACTTTGGAAATGACCAAGATCGTAACAATTGGTATCGGAGCGGACTTACTTGCTGGCGAGAGGTGTTAGTCACCTTAAACCTAATTCCGAATTAGGTTAGGGCTGACCTAATCTCGGATTAGGGTTAGGAAGTTAGGGTTAAGAGGGGCAGTGAGGTATGTGGATATTGCCCCCACCTGGTTAGGTCATGTAGGGTCGACATTAGACCTGACCATGTTTCTTGAGTGATTGGATGGGGTGGCGAGACACAAAGGAGGCTGATTGGAGTAAGCGAGAGGGAGTAGAGAGTGAGAGGTACGCGCACCTGGAATCTGCACTTCAAGAAGACATTGAGTGACTTTTGGGCTTCCCCTCAAGAGGGAGACTTGATCGGAGGCTGCCATATCTGCATCGGAGAGTTGCAAGTTGCTACTTTGGTCTTCAGACATCGGCGGGGGATCCGGCGTTGCAGCAGAGGTGTACTAAGGCCCTCTTAGTCATGCTAGGACACTTCGTGTAGTGGTAGCTAGGGGTCAGGAGGACTTATGAGAGAGGGGGGTGAGTCGTTATCCATCTTTGGAGGCCGGGCCTCACAGGTAAGTGCCGTGTGACCTGGCTAGCCCGTGGGAGGTTGCTTGGTGCTTCATGGCCTGTTGGGGGTGTGCTGGGCTCTCTTCCTCTTCTTTGCGGTCTTGGCTGTGTGTGTGAGCATGTGGATTGCTTTCTCACCTGATGGATGGATGGATGATATATCTGTTCTAAATGACATATCTTTCTACGGTGCAATGTCTTTTCATTTTGAATGGCTGTAGGGGTAAGTTCTTGCTGAAAGTTGTCTTTTCCTTTTCAATACGGTAGAGGCAGTTTGGGACTGACTTGGTACTCCTATCTCGTTGGTCCTGGTCCACGACCTACTTGGGACCTTCGGGACTCAGTGGGACCAGGCGCAATGGGACAGGACCTTTCGGGCCCAAATTTGTTGCTGCCTGTGCATCTCTTTGCTGCGCTGAACTTGGGGGACATGCGGCTAGCAAGGGCATTCCTTTTAAGGGGATCTTGACTGGTCTTACTGCATGTTATCATATACTGCCCCGCGTCTGACTCGGCGACCGTCTGCACCCCTCGAAATCTCCATTGCTGCAGTTAGTTTTCTTCGGCTGATTTACTGTGGTACCTATACCTTGTCAGGTTAGACAAGAGGGGATCTCCAGGTAATCTGATTGGGCCCGTTCGATAAGTCAGTCCTCTCTTCTGTTTTATTTTATTTATTTATTTATTTATTCTTTTAATTTGCTACGGGCCATTCTCTAAGTCCAAATGAATCACCGCTCCGGCTAGGAGTTCTACGTTCTACACTGTGTGATTTACCGATTGTTTCTTTCATCTGAACTATCTATGTCCAGTATTGAGACACGTGCGCAGACAGGGGGAAGAGAGAGAAGGGAGAAAGGTGTTCTGTTTGAGAGTGTGAGGAAGGGCAAGAGCAGTGTTCGTCCAAACGTGAGGAGAGAGCGGACCCCTCTTGAGAGATCTACTAACACCCCTTCCTCTGGCATGGCGGACATCACATCTGCCCAATGGCAGGCCATGCTGGACGCAGCGGATGAGAACGAGAAACCGTTCTTCCGAAAGCTTTATGACGATGCCGTGCAGAGGGAGAGAGAGGTAGAGGCAGCAGCCAGAGCCACAAGCATTGCTGATCAGGTGACCCTCCTGCAGGTCCCGAAAGCGAATGCTGACCGGTTCCAAGAGAGGCTAGCTGCTGCCGTAGCAGCCTTGGTTCGACTGCGGACCTTGGAAGACCTTGAGTCCCGTGTGACAGCACTGGAGCAGTGGAACCAAGAGCTGCAGGCTGAGATACTCAGCCTCAAACAGTCCCAACTGTCTGCCCCCCGTCCCCCTAACCCTCGACCTGCTATAGTCCCAGTCTCTCAACCCAACAAAGTCCTCATGACAAGAGCAAGTGGAACTGTGACGAGCACAAAAACCGGTGCCAGCTCCTCAAGCAGCAGCGCTGGCAGTTTTGCACTAGTTATAGTTCCAAATGCAGGAACATCAACCCAAAACGCCACAGTTCCTACTGGCGTACAGTACAGCGGTCCCGTAGTGGACAAGCGGGCGGCCACTCTGCCGTCCAAGTACGACGTGAAGGGGACAACACCTCTTGGATTAGTTCCATGGGCTCATACGTCGAGGTCATGTGGACAACGCAGGAAGATCGAAGCATGATCATGGGCAGTAATACTGAGCCCGCCGTGTGGAATTTCATTGAGCTCCAAGCTGTTATTGCAGGTTATGAAAGTATTGACCTGACTAAGTGGCTGAAGGTAACTCCTGTACGCACCCTTGAGGACCTTCTCATCACATGGTACCAAGATAAGCACGTTGCGCTCAAGGCAAGGCTGAAGCTTGAGGCCCTAGAGGGCCAAACATGGAGGACCTCCATGCAGGCTTTGGAACAACACTTGACTGGTCTGATCACCACTCCAGACCTGGGAATGACCGACGTGTCTTGCATGGATGTAGTCATGGGAGTGACCCCTAAAGAATACGTCTCCTTGCTAGGACTCAAAGAACAACCTAGAGGCCAAGGACCTCGCCAGGCGTAAAAAGGCACTTGCTGAAGGTAGCAAATCACAACGCAAGCAGTATGGGAGCAGCAACCAGCTTGCCCTGCATGAACATCGGGAGGCTGAAGATCGGTCCTACGCGGATGATCTGTTTCTAGATGACGATCTAGAGCCGGACTCCGATACGGGCTGTTCTACATCAGCCATTGAGTTTGACGTGAATGAAGATGAAAAACTTGCTTTCATAAAGACTGCTTCAAGCAAGGGGCCTAACCATGGTTCGGGTAGGGGAACTATTGCACACCTCCCCAAGAATGCGAAGATCCCTGAGAAACCGGAGGACGCTTCTACCAAGCCTTGGGAAGCCCTCCGCATCAGTCAAAAGGAATGGGAAAGAAGATCCAAACTGCGCGTATGCTTGCATTGTCAAAAGCTTGGGCATGTTGTGCAGGACTGTTATCGTCTGCAGGGAAACAGGCAAAGGGCGTAGAAGAGTCGTCAACACTCTCTACAATAAGGGAAGCTGAAGCGTCAGTTGCAGGCTCCTCCAAGGAGACTGAATCAGATCAACAGCCTGCCCCTGAAGCCCGGAACGACGTTGAATCCAACGCTGCTGCAGTTAATGTACTGTACACTGAGCCTTGGGAGGAGTCTAAGGAAGTTGACTTCCACGCTCGCCTGGAACATTGGCTGCAGCTCAAGCAGCAACGCCGTGTTCAAGGGAGTGTGAAGCTAACCTTCTTTAAACTGCTCATTAACCGCCGATACATCCGCGTGCTGATTGATAGTGGTTCAACCACCAATTTCTTTTCTCCTAACGGGATTCATAAGGCGGGCCTGGGAATGAAGCAAGTGGAATTGCAGAACCCTTACCGGACCCAGGTGGGCAACCAAGAGGTTGTCACCTCCACACATGCTGTCAAAGGTATGCACGTCACCTTTGATAAGGACCGCACTGTCACACATGAGCTGAACTTTTATGTCATGGACAAGTGTCCGTTCGACGCGGTCATTGGCTTGGGCTTGAATGAACCACGTGGGCGGATAATCAGTTCGTGGTGCGTGATGCGAAGGGGAGCGAGCGTACCGTTCTACTAGACGAGACGCGCGAGTCCCCTGTGACTCTTTTGAGTGCGAACAAATTCTGCAAGTCAGTGCGCAGGCGCAAGGAAGCTGAGCATGTACATATAGCTCTTGTAAAGCCTCTCCATGTGCTTTCTACTTTTGCTGCATTTTCTACCTCGAAGAGTAAATCTACTTTTATCGCCTCTACTTCCATTTCATCCACTTCTACTGTGAATAATGACTCTACTTCTGATCCAAGTACTTCGAATCCAGTTGTAATTGCTGTAAATTCTCGATCTGATTTTCCTTCTCCTGATGAGGATGATCCTCCACCGGAAGTCCCAACGAACATTCACTGTCTATTAGATCGATTCCCTGAAGTTCTAGCCGAACCTCGTGGAGTTTTCGAGCGTCCGGTCAAACACAAAATCGAGATAATAGAAGGAAGTGTTCCTCCAAAGGGCTGCGTCTACCGTATGGGACAAGGCGAGTTGGAGGAGTTGAGGAGGCGAATTGATGACATGATTGACCGTGGATGGATTAGGCCTAGTGAGTTTGAGTTCGGTGCACCTATCCTGTTTGTGCCGAAGAAAGGAGGCAAACTCTGGATGTGCATTGACTATTGTGGCCTAAACCGTATCACCCGAAAGAATGCGTATCGTTTGCCTCGCATCGATGATCTGCTAGATGCGGCAGGTGGGTGCAAGGTCTTCTCCAAGATCGACCTCAAGTCTGGTTACCACCAGATTGAAGTTGATCCGAGTGACCAGCACAAAACTGCATTCAAGACATGCGATGGGCTGTACGAGTTCATCGTTATGCCCTTCGGTCTTACGAATGCAACAACCACATTTCAGTGCTTCATGGACAAGGTTCTCCGCCATCAGCTGAACAGGTTTGTTGTTGTTTACCTCGATGACATCCTGATTTTCAGCAAGTCCATGGAAGAGCACGTCAAGCACCTCGAGGAAGTTTTGCAGGTCCTCAAGGAGGCACAACTGCACCTCAACTTAGAGAAATCTGAGTTTGGAAGGGACAGCGTCATCTATCTTGGGCACCGGTTGTCTGCAAAAGGCCTTGAGTCGGAGGCAACCAAGGTTGAGGTCATACGAAAGTGGCCTCAGCCGGCAAACGTACGCGAACTGCGTTCTTTTCTGGGTTTGGCCTCGTATTATCGGAAGTTTGTGCCCAAATTTTCTGTCATTGCTCACCCACTATCAAGACTAACATGTAAGAATGTTGCCTATGCGTGGTGTGAGAAATGTGAGACTGTGTTCCAAGCCTTGAAAGAGGCATTGGTGAGTCATCCCGTGCTCCGCATTGCGGATCCCAACCTCACATTCGTAGTCACTACGGATGCGAGCCAGTTTGGGACGGTGGAGTGCTGCAACAAGATGATGGTGATGACCTGCGTCCGCTCAAGTATTACAGCAAACGCATGCCCAACCACAAGGTAGCTACCTCCACGTATATGCGTGGGCTCTACGCCTTGCGCGAGGCGCTTGCACATTGGAAGCACTACCTCTTGGGTCGTCACTTCAAGGTCTACTCAAATCATCAGACCTTGCAGCGGATTCAGACACAAACTGATCTCTCTCCAACACTTACCCGCCTGGTTGCATGACTTTGATGTCTATAGTTTTGAGTTGAAACACAAGAAAGGCTGTTATAACCGTGTTGCTGATGCTCTATCACGCCATCCTGAGTTTTTGACTTGCCTGGTGGGTTCGTATGACTTCCGAAGGAAACTGAAGGAGGATCTGGTCGAACACACCGCCAAGGATCCGACCTTAGTCCCATCCTTGAGCAGCTCAAGGCTGACCCTAATAGTCAACCTGATTTTCATGAGTGCGAGGGTCTTGTATTCCGCCGGTATGGGAAGTTTGATCGTTTGTGTGTACCCAACCATGCGCCTCTCCGGACTCATTTCTTGGATTTGGCACATGGTCGGAGTGGACACTTCGGCTTTGAAAAGACTTATGGAAGCCTTTTGCAACAGTTTGATTGGCCGGAAATGAAAGGATCTGCTCAGAAATTTATTGCTGAATGTCAGGTTTGTCAAAGGACCAAGGTCCATAGGCATAAGCCTTATGGCCTGTTGAAGCCCCTCCCCATTCTTGATGGACCCGGTGAGTCGATTTCCATCGACTTCACGGACATGGGAAAGGTGAGTGAGGCAGAGAATTCACAAGTCATGGTCATCGTAGACCGCTTTTCCAAAATTTTGAATTTGATTCCTTTTCCTCCCCATGCCCCAACTGAGCTTGTCATCGAAGAATTTCATCAGCAGTATATTCTGCAGTTTGGCCACCCGAAAACTATTGTGAGTGATCAGGACACCAGATTCATTAGCAAAGATTGGAAGGACTTCACTTCTCAGATCTACGATGTTAAACTCAACAAGACTTGTGGTCGACACCCCGAAGACAATGGATTGGCTGAGGAAATCAACCAGACTGTCATCCAACTACTTCGCGCGCTAATTGTTCCAGATCAGAACACGTGGGACAAGGAGTTGCACAAAGTGAAGGGGTTGTGCAACAATTCCATTCACTCTGCAACGGGTGTGACACTGAATCAGCTGCAATACGGATGGCAGCTGCGCAATCCTCTCTCCTATCTGTTCCTCGAACGGTCACCTGCTCTGATGCCCGGCATGCTTGGCTACAATGCCAAGTATGCACGCTTGCTCAAAGCTGCTATCGCAGCAATGAACAAGCGTCAGCATGCCATGATCAAACATGCGAATAAGTTGCGCAAAGAAGCGAACTTCAAAGTAGGGGATTATGTCTGAGTCAAAATGTCCGAGTTTTTTGATGAAGAGGGCGTATCACGGAAGCTTCTTCCATTGTATTATGACCCTTGGCACGTTTCGAAGGTGATTGGGGATGATTTTGGTCCTTCATATGTGATTGATGTGCCTCCTCATCTGCGCACATATCCGGTCTTTCATGCATCCAAACTGTTTCCACACATCGATAATGAAACTTTTCCCTTCCCAGATCCTATGATACCTCGTCCTATCGACGGCGTCCATGAGATAAACAAAATCGTTTCCCATGAAGGCAGAGGGAGGAACAGACAGTATAAGGTTTACTTTCTCTATCACCCGTTGAACAAGTTTTTCTGGATTGATCGGAAAGCGGTGCTAAAGAATGCTCCACGTGTTGTGAACGCTTATGAACGACAGATCAGTGATGGACAGACTGTTAAGTTTTCTGCAAGACTCGCTCCTTATGGTATTACTAAGTCTCTCTTCTTGATCTACGCCTACGATGCTTTTTGTGTCGACTCTGAATGAGTTACTCGCTCGAAGGGACCTCGCTCTTGAGAGGGGGGTAGTGTAATGACCCGCCAAAAACACAGACTGAGAACACTGCTGATTTTTGGGATTTGCCGCTGGAATGAATGCCTTGCTGAAATTCCCGCATTCTGCTGTGATTTCCATGTCTGTGTGTGTGTGCGTGCCTGCTGGTTTGCATGACTGTCTGAGTGCTTGTCGGTTGAGTGTGTGTGTGACCCGCAAGGGTACTTGTTGGTTGCAAGGCCCCGCAGGGCCGGTACTTACCTGTTGCCGTGACTGTGAAGGGTTGCAAGGGGGAAAACACTCGAGTAGCGGGGGTAGGCCCGCGGCACTTGAGCAGAGGGGAAAAACACTCAAGTAGCAGGTAGGCCGGTGCCACTGAAGTAGTGGTAGAAGTGTTGGGTACTGGAGGCCGAGCAAAAGAAGACAAAAAGTTGGCATTTTTAGAGGCCCAGTAGCGGTAGGCTAGAGGTAGGCCGGTACCAGTCCAAGTAGCCCTGGAATGATGTTTCCCTCCGAGAGGGAGGAGGTACCGGTTGCTGGGAGGCCGCTCGGCCTAGGAAGTCACCGCCCAGGAGGCCAGTAGGCCGCTATATCTTTCGGAGGAGCAAGTAGCTCCTCCTCATTTGCGGTGTGCAAGGATTGGCGACATGCTGCTGGAGCACAGCGCTGGACTGGTACAGCGCTGCTTGGAGGTGAAGGGCAGCTGGAGCTCAGCCTGGCTATGGCGAGCAGTCCAGCTTGAGGAGGAGGAAGAAGGGGGCGAAGGAGGAGAGTGGCGAGGCACTTACCTGGCTATGGTAGACACCATCTTCATCACCTTGTTGGGYGCTGCATCTGGAAGGCCCCAGTTGGGGTAGTGCTGCACCAAGGAAGCTYGAGGCAGWGTYASGCATGGCGGACCAGYMAGCAGCGGCATAGCTGCTYTGGGTTGTCCTTTGGACATYAGCGCARCACCATAGCTGCTTTGGGTTGTCCTTTGGACRTCAGCGCAGCACCATAGCTGCTTTGGGTTGTTTTTTGACAGGAGGGCAGGGCCCTCATTAGTCCGCCATAGCCTATGCATGAGAGAGGAGGCTGAAGGAGGGAAGCCATAGCT